CTTTTTTAGGTTTTTTCTTTTCTTCCATTATTTCTCTTTTCTTTTTTTTTCTCATAAGATTTTTTCGTTCTTTCTTTTTATATTTTTTCCTTCTTTCTTTTTAGGTTTTTCTTTTCCTTCCATTATTTTCGTCTTTCTTTCTTTTCTCATAAGATTTTTTTTCGTTCTTTCTTTTTATATTTTTTCCTTCTTTCTTTTTAGGTTTTTCTTTTCCTTCCATTATTTTCGTCTTTCTTTCTTTTCTCATAAGATTTTTTTTCGTTCTTTCTTTTTATATTTTTTCCTTCTTTCTTTTTAGGTTTTCTTTCTTTTCTCATAAGATTTTTTTCGTTCTTTCTTTTATATTTTTTCTTCTTTTTAGGTTTTCTTTTCCTTCCATTATTTTCGTCTTTCTTTCTTTTCTCATAAGATTTTTTTTCTTTCTTTTTTATTTTTTTCGTTCTTTCTTTTTTATTTTTTTTCCTTCTTTTTCTTTTAGGTTTTTCTTTTTATATTTTTCCTTCTTTTCCCTTCCATTATTTTCGTCTTTCTTTCTTTCTTTTTTTTTCGTTCTTTTTTTTATATTTTTTTCTTTTTATTAGGTTTTTCTTTTCCTTTTATTTTTCGTCTTTCTTTCTTTTCTCATATTTTTTTTCGTTCTTCTTTTTTATTTTTTCCTTCTTTCTTTTAAGGTTTTTCTTTTCCTTCCATTATTTTTCGTTTTTCTTTTCTCATAAAATTTTTTCGTTTTTCTTTTTATATTTTTTCCTTCCATTATTTTCGTTTTTTTTTTCTTTCTTTTTTTTCCTTCATTATTTTCGTCTTTCTTTCTTTTCTCATAAGATTTTTTTTCGTTCTTTCTTTTATTTTTTTTCTTCATTCTTTTTAGGTTTTCTTTTGTTCTTTTTTCGTTTTATTTTTTTTTTCGTTCTTTCTTTTTATATTTTTTCTTTTTCTTTTTAGGTTTTCTTTTCCTTCCATTATTTCCGTCTTTCTTTTCTTTTCTTTTTTTTCGTTCTTTCTTTTTATATTTTCCTTCTTTAAGATTTTTTCGTCTTTCTTTCTTTTTATATTTTTTCCTTTTTATTTTTTTCCTTTTTCTTTTTAGGTTTTTCTTTTTTTCCATTATTTTCGTTTTTCTTTTCTCATCGTTCTTTCTTTTTTTATATTGTTTCGTTCTTTCTTTTTAGGTTTTCTTTTCCTTCCATTATTTTTTTTTTTTTCGTTTTTTTCGTTCTTTTTTTTTTATTTTTTTCTTCTTTCTTTTTAGGTTTTTTCTTTTTGCTTCCATTATTTTTCGTCTTTCTTTCTTTCTCATTCGTTCTTTCTTTTTATAAGGTTTTTTTTTTCCTTCCATTATTTTCGTTTTCTTTTTTTCTCATTTTTTTTCGTTCTTTCTTTTTATATTTTTCGTTTTTCTTTTTTGGTTTTTTCTTTTCCTTCCATTATTTTCGTCTTTCTTTCTTTTCTCATAAGATTTTTTTCGTTCTTTCTTTTTTATTTTTCTTTTCCTTCCATTTTTTCGTCTTTCTTTCTTTTCTCATAGGTTCTTTCTTTTATATTTTTTCGTTTTTTTTTAGGTTTTCTTTTCCTTTATTTCCGTTTTCTTTCTTTTCTCATATTTTTTTTCTTTTCTTTTTTTAGGTTTTTTTTCCTTCCATTTTTTCGTCTTTTCTTTCTTTCCTCAGATTTTTTTTTTCGTTCTTTCTTTTTATATTTTTTTCTTTTATTTTTCGTCTTTCTTTCTTTTCTCATAAGATTTTTTTCGTTCCTTTTTATATTTTTCCTTCTTTCTTTTAAGGTTTTTCTTTTCCTTCCATTATTTTCGTCTTTCTTTTCTTTTTTTTTTCTTCTTTCTTTTTTATAATTCTTTTTATTTTCTTTTTTCCATTATTTTCGTTTTTTTCTTTTTCATAAGATTTTTTTCGTTCTTTCTTTTTATATTTTTTTTCTTTTATTTAGGTTTTTCTTTTCCTTCCATTATTTTCGTCTTTCTTTCTTTTCTCATAAGATTTTTTTTCGTTCTTTCTTTTTATATTTTTTCCTTCTTTCTTTTTAGGTTTTTCTTTTCCTTCCATTATTTTCGTCTTTCTTTCTTTTCTCATAAGATTTTTTTTCGTTCTTTCTTTTTATATTTTTTCCTTCATTTCTTTTTTAGGTTTTTCTTTTGCTTCATTTTTTCGTCTTTCTTTCTTTTCTCATTTTTTTTTTCTTTCTTTTTTTATTTTTCGTTCTTTCTTTTTAGGTTTTTTTTTTCCTTCCGTATTTTTTTTTCTTTCTTTTTTTTCTTTTTTTTTATTTTTCTTTTCCTTCCATTGTTCTTTCTTTTCTCATAAGATTTTTTTTCGTTCTTTCTTTTTATATTTTTCCTTTCTTTTTTAGGTTTTTCTTTTCCTTCCATTATTTTCGTCTTTCTTTTCTTTTCTCATTTTTTTTTCGTTCTTTTTTTTTATATTTTTTTCTTCTTTCTTTTTTTTTTTCTTTTCCTTCCATTATTTCCGTCTTTCTTTCTTTTCTCATGTTTTCTTTTATATTTTTTTCCTTCTTTTTTTTAGGTTTTCTTTTCCTTCCATTATTTTCGTTTTTTCTTTCTTTTCTCATAAGATTTTTTTCGTTCTTTCTTTTTTATTTTTTCGTTCTTTCTTTTTAAGGTTTTCTTTTCCTTCCATTTTCCGTTTTCTTTCTTTTCTCTTTTTTTTCGTTCATTTTTTCGTTCTTTCTTTTTTAGGTTTTTTTTTTCCTTCCATTATTTTCGTCTTTTCTTTTATTTTCTCCCTAAGATTTTTTCGTTCTTTCTTTTTATATTTTTTCCTTTTTTTTTTTTTTTTTCTTTTCCTTCCATTATTTCCGTCTTTTTTTTTTCTCATAAGATTTTTTTTTTTCTTCTTTTTTTATATTTTTCCTTCTTTCTTTTTAGGTTTTCTTTCTTCCATTATTTTCGTTTTCTTTTTTTTCTCATAAGATTTTTTTTTCGTTCTTTCTTTTTATTTTTTTCCTTCTTTCTTTTTATTTTTTCTTTTTTTTTTTCTCATAAGATTTTCTCTTCTCTTTTCTCTTCTTATTCCATTGTCCGTATTTTCTCTCTTTATTTCTTTTTTCTTTATTGTCATCTTTTTAATTTGTTTTTCATTCTCTTTTTTTTTTTTTCCATTTTCATTGTGTTTTCTTGTTCCATTCGATTTATTTATTTACTTTTTCTTTTTCGAGTTTATTTCCTTTTTTTTTTTTCTTCGCGTCTCATTTTTTCGTGTTTGTTCTTTCGTTTTTTTTTTTCTTTTTTTTCTTTTCTTTCTTTATCTTTTTTTTCTTTCTTTTTTATATTTTTCTTTTTCTTTTTTTTTTTTCTTTTTAGTTCCATTTTTTTTTTTTTTTTTTTCTTATTCCATTTTTTGTTCTTTCATTTTCTTCCGTTTTTTTTTTTTTTATTTCTTATTCTCATTTTTTTCTTATTTTACAATGCTCTTTTCTTTTTTCTTTCTTTTTTTTGTTTCTTTTCGTTTTAGTCTTTCTTTTCTCATAGGCTCATCTTTTTTCTATTTTATTCTCATTTTCCCTTTACATTGTTTCGTTTCTTACTTGGGCATTTTTTTTTTTTTTTACATTGTGTTTCTCTTTCATATTTTTATTTCGTTGATTTTTTTTTCGTTTTTCGTTTCGCTGTCCTTTCTATTTCATTTTTGTTCAATTTCATACGGCGTTCGTTGATTCTTATTAGTTTTTCATTTTCATTCAATTTACATTTAATTTGATCCTTTCGTTTCTTTATCGTATCTTTTATGGACACGTATCCAAGTGGATAGAACCTTCGCATTTTGACCAATGAAACCTGAGTTCAAATCTCACCATAGCCGATCTGTCAGGAAGGAGAGTTTCTGATGTTATCGGACTTGAAGGGTGGATCCCCGGGTGCGCCAAAATACCTGAAAACCAGACCACGGGTTGACCCAAGCCTTGTGAGTGAAATTGGGTAAACGGAACTCTTATGGGCCGTCGATAGCTGTGCTAGCATGAATCCACAAGTCATCGTGGCCGAGGGTTTGAGCGTGCTGGCTTTGTTCAAATTGTTGATCACGCTAGATAAAACGCTCTTTCTGAGAAACTGTAACTAAGTAACATAGTTGCAGTATAAACCACAGGTGGATTCTATGTGTTGAATAAACACAAATGTGCCTGAGCAAGCATCTGCAATAAGGATTGGCTAGCCGCCGTAGTAGACAAGTATCCTCGACTACTACTGGCCAGTTATACTTTTTTTTTCATATTTCTTTTTTGCTTTATTTTTTTCACTCAATTCCTTCATATTTTCTTTCATTTTTATTTAATAATACGTTTTTTAATTCTTTTTTTTTTTGTTTCATTCTTATTTCTATTACAATTTTATATTCAGTTGATTTTCATTCACTATTTTCTTTTAGTTATTTTCATTATAATTTATATTTTTATTTGTTATTCATTCAGTTTCTGTTCTATTTTCTTTCCTCATAATTCTTATTTCTTCCGGATTTTCTTCATTCTTCTAAAAAAAAATTCTTTGATTTTCTTTTCCTTTTCCGCATATTTTCAACCTACTGGGTGGTCCGAAAGTCTTGTTACCCGCTACAAAAAGTAATCAGAACAATAGAACAATTAATACAGTAATACAAAGCACATGATCTGGATTCATTTTATTCACTTTCATTGACGCTATCACACATCAAGGTCAGCAGGAACATTATCCTTTTCGTCTAGGAGCTCTTGTCAGGCATTTGAAATAGAAAATTTTATTATGTAGGGGTGTTAAGACTTTCGGACTACCGTGTATATTTCTGCGTGACAGAACTAATTTCAAGTCGGAACCTCAAAAGGGTAATTTGCATTTCAAGCCCCGCTCTCTGTCTGTAATAAAAAAAAAATTCCCGAATAGTTTCATTTAGGTTTAAATGAACATGCTTAATTCGAAAATAACCAAGAACTTTTGATAACATCTACCGTTTTGGAGATATCGGCAATAAATTTCGGACTCTTTCGCGTCGCGGTGGGTGATGTTGAAATTAATTCTACACTCCATATTTCTTCTTGCCACTATTTCTTTCCTTTTTAATTTATATATTTTCTTTTTTTTTTTTTTACTTCTTCATTTATTCTGCCATTTCGCTTTCTTTTCATTCATTTTCTTACACCTTTATGTGATTACATTCTTGTATTTTACCGTTTATTTTGCTGGTCTCACCTTTCTCTTTTTCCTACTCGCTCATACCTTTCGTTGTTCGTTGATCTTTCTAATGCATCTACCCTTGTCTTATTATATTTGTGGCATTTATCTATTCCCCCTTCCCCTCTTATATCTTGAATAGTTTTCCCAGCCATTGGCTTTTCACTTTTGGCCTGTAGATTCCATCGTGTTAAAGAACGACACCTATTTTATTTTTCATGGTCTATTCTTGATGGCCATTAGATGTCATCAAATCATTCCAGGATGACCTCATTCTTAAACAGCTTTGCATTTTGAGATTTTCGAGACGAACTTCAAAGTTAATCACATTCAGATTTTTTAAATATTTTTCTTTTATTTTTTAGATTTTTTTCTTCATTGCTTCATTTTCATTTTTTTTTCGCATTTTCATTATCCCTCTGTCTTATTTTTCTTAAATATTTCCATCGACATTAATTTAAACTCTTTTTCAGAATTTTATTCACAGCTTTCTTTCTTTATTACTTCGTGTTGAAAATTCGTTTCATAAGATCTTTCATTTATTCTTTCATTACTTTCATACTTTCCTTTTTTATATTTATTAAATTATTTTTCCTTCTTTCATAGACTCATATTTTCTTTCTTTCTTTCTTTCTTTCTTTCTTTCTTTCTTTCTATACCACTCACTTCAGTTCACTTTAAAAATCTTTTTCATCATTTCTTTAACCTTTTTCTTTCTTTCTTTCTTTCTTTCTTTCTTTCTTTCTTTACCACCCCTTGTTATTAAATTAAAACTATTTTTTTAAAAAAAATTCTTCACCTTCCTTCTTTAATTTGTGTGTTTAAATTTCGTTTTCAACACTTACTTTTTCTTTCTTTATTTTTATATTTTCCCTCTTCCTTTCTTTTTCTTTTCGTTGCCTTTCTTTCTTTTTTCTTTTTCTTTCGTTATTCTCTCTTTTTCTTTCTTTCTTTCTTCCTTCCTTTCTTTCTTTCTTTACCACTCCCTTTTCTTCAGTTAAAAATACTTATTTTAAATTTTTTTTCCCCTTCGTTCTTTAATTTTTGTGTTTAAATTTTGTTTTCAACACTTATTTTTTCTTTCTTTATTTTTATATTTTTCCTTTTCCCTTTCTTTTTTCTCTCTTTTTCTTTCTTTCTTTCTTTCTTTCTTTCTTTCTTTCTTTCTTTCTTTCTTTCTTTCTTAAAACCCCTTTAATATTTCCCAGACTTTCCTCCTCTCTTCTCGCCCCTTCATATTTTTAATTCATCCTTTTTATCTTTTCCATATTAGCATTACCCATCAAAATTCTGTTCTTTTGTTTACCATTTGTTCATTCCCGCCGACAGATTAACACATTACCCTATCTGCCTCATTCCATCTCACCCCTCTCCTCTCCCCCCCTTCATCTCCCCCTCTACCTCTCTCAAACCTCACTTTTCCAAGCTGTCTCTACCCCCTCTCTGTCTATATCTTTCATTCACTCTCACTTTCCTGACTTCACTTTATACATTTAGTTATTACTTTTTCTCTCACTCATTTTATTTCTTGTTGAAAAGACAATGACTGTAAGCAAGATAGAAGGAGATAAGGAAAGAAAAAATATAGAAAGAAAGAAAAATAAATATTAAAAAAAAACAAAAGAAAAGAAAGTTAGTGTAGGTAATATCGAAGAAAGAAAGATTGAAAAATAGTAGAGTAAAAAGAAAAATGGAGGAAAAAAATATTAGGAATTAGATGAATGATAAAAGAAAAAAAAGAATAAAAATAAAAATAAATTAATTAAGAAAGAAAGAAAGAAAGAGAAGAAATATAATGAAAGAACGAAAGAAAGAAAAACATAAAGAAACTGATTAAAGAAAGATTTCAATTTCTCTGTTTAGACGTACAGTAATACCCTGTGTATAATACGCCTTCATCCATAATACGCATCCCTAAAAGCGTGAGAAAATGCTTCTACTCGTGCATAATACGTACCCTTTGTTTGGTAATCAAACCCTATGAATTGTACCACTTCAATTTCATCATGGACAGCGTTTCCTCCTCTTATTAAAAATGTTTTTAAACAGAATAATATTATTCTAATTTAGTTTTATGATAATTCTTATTTTATTTTACATTTCTAAGTATTGTTAGGTACATATGATTGCATTTGACATCCTTATGGGGGTCGCAATCGCCGAATGTTAGTGTCAAATTTTCGTATGTTTGTGTTGAGTAGTTATTTCGCAACTGAAATCGACCTATGAAACGGAGATTTTTTAAAATTGTTGCTGTGCATAATACGCACCTTTAATTTTGCTCATTATTTTTTTTATAAAAAATGCGTATTATATATGGGGAATTATGGAATTTTTTCTGTCATACATTCTCCTTCTCCACGTCGCTCTGTTTCTATGAAAAAAGAAATAATGGTAAAAAGAAAAGTAAAGAAAGAAAGAAAGAAAGAAACAAAGAAACAAAGAACAACTGAAAAAAGAATACAAAAGAAACTAAATTGGAAATAAAACGAATACAATCAAGAAACAGAATCTATTCTTCCATTCTTTCTGGTCAAACGTCACATATTGCTTACTATTAATATTACCAATTAACATCCGTTCGTTTTTTTATTCTTGTTTGTGCTGTTCTTCTGGAATTACTCTTGGCTTATTCTCTCGTTCAGATTTTACTTTCTCTGTTTAAACGTATTTCCTCTCGCAGACATTCACCTTTTCATTATGTCTCTATGAAAAAGGAAAAGTAAGAAAGAAAGTGATAAAAGGAAGCAAGAAAATATCATAAACAGTTTTTTAAAAGAAACACAAAGAAAAAAGCGTAATATGAAAGAAAGAAAGCGATAGAAAGAAAGAAAGAAAGAAAGAAAGAAAGAAAAATTAAGGAGAGATAAAAATGAAAAATATAAATAAACTCAAAGAAATAATGAAAAAAAAGAATCGAAAAATGGAAAAAAAGAAATAGAAAGAAGGGAAAGAAAGAAAGAAAGAAAGAAAGAAAATAAAATGAACAACAATGCGAGCAAGAAAGAAGGGAGAAGGAGTAGGGAAAGAAAGAAAGAAAGAAAGAAAGAAAGAAAGAAAGAAAGAAAGAAATAATGTGAAAAAGAATAGATGAAACAACTTGAAAGAAGGAAAGAAAGGAAAAAATATTAAAAAGAAGGAATGAGCAACTGTCAAGAAAGAAAGGAAGAAAGAAAGAAAGGAAGGAAAAAAGGACACATGGCACAGTGGATAAATGCGTTAGTTAGATCCAGTGACAGGACCCAAAGAGTGTGAGTTCAATACTCGGTTAAGGCAGTGGAAAAATTGTAGAGGAAATTAACAAGAAATAACTGATAACTGACTCCCAGTAGACATAGCACGTGGAACTAGAACAGTCTACCCCAGCGAGCGAAATAAAAGGTTCAGTTCCACATTCCAGCCACCTGAAGAACGCCGGAGCGTGCAAAAGATGAAACGTTGTAATAAAAATGGCGACAAAAATGAGGACAATAGTCCGAATAATGTAAATAGTGTACATAATACCTCATCCCAGAAATATAGACAGATACTGAAAGGCCGAAACGTTGTAATAAATATGGCAACAAAGATGAGGACAATAGTCCGAATAACGTAAATAGTGTACATAATACCTCATCTCAGAAATATAGACAGATACTGAAGGGCCGAAACGTTATGATAAATATGGCAACAAAGATGAGTACAATAGTCTGAATAACGTAAATAGTGTACATAATAACTCATCTCAGAAATATAGACAGATACTGAAAGGCCGAAACGTTGTAATAAATATGGCAACAAAGATGAGGACAATAGTCCGAATAACGTAAATAGTGTACATAATACCTCATCTCAGAAATATAGACAGATACTGAAAGGCCGAAACGTTGTAATAAATATGGCGACAAAGATGATGACAATAGTCCGAATAATGTAAATAATGTACATAATACCTCATCTCAGAAATATAGACAGATACTGAAAGGCCGAAACGTTGTAATAAATATGGCGACAAAGATGAGGACAATAGTCCGAATTACGTAAATAGTGTACATAATACCTCATCTCAGAAATATAGACAGATACTGAAAGGCCGAAACGTTGTAATAAATATGGCGACAAAGATGAGGACAATAGTCCGAATAACGTAAATAGTGTACATAATACCTCATCTCAGAAATATAGACAGATACTGAAAGGCCGAAACGTTGTAATAAATATGGCGACAAAGATGAGGACAATAGTCCGAATTACGTAAATAGTGTACATAATACCTCATCTCAGAAATATACACAGATACTGAAAGGCCGAAACGTTGTAATAAATATGGCGACAAAGATGAGGACAATAGTCCGAATAACGTAAATAGTGTACATAATACCTCATCTCAGAAATATAGACAGATACTGAAGTGCCGAAACGTTGTAATAAATATGGCGACAAAGATGAGGACAATAGTCCGAATTACGTAAATAGTGTACATAATACATCATCTCAGAAATATAGACAGATACTGAAGTGCCGAAACGTTGTAATAAATATGGCGACAAAGATGAGGACAATAGTCCGAATAACGTAAATAGTGTACATAATACCTCATCTCAGAAATATAGACAGATACTGAAAAGCCGAAACGTTGTGATAAATATGGCAACAAAGATGAGTACAATAGTCCGAATAACGTAAATAGTGTACATAATACCTCATCTCAGAAATATAGACAGATACTGAAAGGCCGAAACGTTGTAATAAATATGGCGACAAAGATGAGGACAATAGTCCGAATAACGTAAATAGTGTACATAATACATCATCTCAGAAATATAGACAGATACTGAAAGGCCGAAACGTTGTAATAAATATGGCGACAAAGATGAGGACAATAGTCCGAATAACGTAAATAGTGTACATAATACCTCATCTCAGAAATATAGACAGATACTGAAAGGCCGAAACGTTGTAATAAATATGGCGACAAAGATGAGGACAATAGTCCGAATAACGTAAATAGTGTACATAATACCTCATCTCAGAAATATAGACAGATACTGAAAGGCCGAAACGTTGTAATAAATATGGCGACAAAGATGAGGACAATAGTCCGAATAACGTAAATAATGTACATAACACCTCATCTCAGAAATATAGACATATACTGAAGCGCCGAAACGTTGTAATAAATATGTCGACAAAGATGAGGACAATAGTCCGAATTACGTAAATAGTGTACATAATACCTCATCTCAGAAATATAGACAGATACTGATGGGCCGAAACGTTGTAATAAATATGGCGACAAAAATGAGGAAAATAGTCCGAATAATGTAAATAAGGTACATAATACCTGAATCTCAGAAATATAGACAGATACTGAAGGGCCGAAACGTTGTAATAAATATGGCGACAAAGATGAGGACAATAGTCCGAATTACGTAAATAGTGTACATAATATCTCATCTCAGAAATATAGACAGATACTGATGGGCCGAAACGTTGTAATAAATATGGCGACAAAGATGAGGACAATAGTCCGAATAACGTAAATAATGTACATAACACCTCATCTCAGAAATATAGACATATACTGAAGGGCCGAAACGTTGTAATAAATATGGCGACAAAGATGAGGACAATAGTCCGAATTACGTAAATAGTGTACATAATACCTCATCTCAGAAATATAGACAGATACTGAAAGGCCGAAACGTTGTAATAAATATGGCGACAAAGATGAGGACAATAGTCCGAATAACGTAAATAGTGTACATAACACCTCATCTCAGAAATATAGACAGATACTGAAAGGCCGAAACGTTGTAATAAATATGGCGACAAAGATGAGGACAATAGTCCGAATTACGTAAATAGTGTACATAATACTTCATCTCAGAAATATAGACAGATACTGAAAGGCCGAAACGTTGTAATAAATATGGCGACAAAGATGAGGACAATAGTCCGAATTACGTAAATAGTGTACATAATACCTCATCTCAGAAATATAGACAGATACTGAAAGGCCGAAACGTTGTAATAAATATGGCGACAAAGATCAGGACAATAGTCCGAATAATGTAAATAATGTACATAATACCTCATCTCAGAAATATAGACAGATACTGAAGGGCCGAAACGTTGTAATAAATATGGCGACAAAGATGAGGACAATAGTCCGAATTACGTAAATAGTGTACACAATACCTCATCTCAGAAATATAGACAGATACTGAAAGGCCGAAACGTTGTAATAAATATGGCGACAAAGATGAGGACAATAGTCCGAATAACGTAAATAGTGTACATAATACCTCATCTCAGAAATATAGACAGATACTGAAAGGCCGAAACGTTGTAATAAATATGGCGACAAAGATGAGGACAATAGTCCGAATTACGTAAATAGTGTACATAATACCTCATCCTCAGAAATATAGACAGATACTGAAAGGCCGAAACGTTGTAATAAATATGGCGACAAAGATGAGGACAATAGTCCGAATAATGTAAATAATGTACATAATACCTCATCTCAGAAATATAGACAGATACTGAAGGGCCGAAACTTTGTAATAAATATGGCGACAAAGATGAGGATAATAGTCCGAATTAAGTAAATAGTGTACATAATACCTTATCTCAGAAATGTAGACAGATACTGAAAGGCCGAAACGTTGTAATAAATATGGCGACAAAGATGAGGACAATAGTCCGAATAATGTAAATAGTGTACATAATACCTCATCTCAGAAATATAGACAGATACTGAAAGGCCGAAACGTTGTAATAAATATGGCGACAAAGATGAGGACAATAGTCCGAATAATGTAAATAATGTACATAATACCTCATCTCAGAAATATAAACAGATACTGAAAGGCCGAAACGTTGTAATAAATATGGCGACAAAGATGAGGACAATAGTCCGAATAACGTAAATAGTGTACATAATACCTTATTTCAGAAATATAGACAGATACTGAAGGGCCGAAACGTTGTAATAAATATGGCGACAAAGATGAGGACAATAGTCCGAATAACGTAAATAGTGTACATAATACCTCATCTCAGAAATATAGACAGATACTGAAGTGCCGAAACGTTGTAATAAATATGGCGACAAAGATGAGGACAATAGTCCGAATAACGTAAATAGTGTACATAATACCTCATCTCAGAAATATAGACAGATACTGAAAGGCCGAAACGTTGTAATAAATATGGCGACAAAGATGAGGACAATAGTCCGAATAACGTAAATAGTGTACATAATACCTCATCTCAGAAATATAGACAGATACTGAAAGGCCGAAACGTTGTAATAAATATGGCGAAAAAGATGAGGACAATAGTCCGAATAACGTAAATAGTGTACATAATACCTCATTTCAGAAATATAGACAGATACTGAAGGGCCGAAACGTTGTAATAAATATGGCGACAAAGATGAGGACAATAGTCCGAATAACGTAAATAGTGTACATAATACCTCATCTCAGAAATATAGACAGATACTGAAAGGCCGAAACGTTGTAATATATATGGCGCCAAAGATGAGGACAATAGTCCGAATAACGTAAATAGTGTAGATAATACCTCATCTCAGAAATATAGACAGATACTGAAAGGCCGAAACGTTGTAATAAATATGGCGAAAAAGATGAGGACAATAGTCCGAATAACGTAAATAGTGTACATAATACTTCATCTCAGAAATATAGACAGATACTGAAGTGCCGAAACGTTGTAATAAATATGGCGCCAAAGATGAGGACAATAGTCCGAATAACGTAAATAGTGTGCATAATACCTTATTTCAGAAATATAGACAGATACTGAAGGGCCGAAACGTTGTAATAAATATGGCGACAAAGATGAGGACAATAGTCCGAATAACGTAAATAGTGTACATCATACTTCATCTCAGAAATATAGACAGATACTGAAGTGCCGAAACGTTGTAATAAATATGGCGCCAAAGATGAGGACAATAGTCCGAATAACGTAAATAGTGTGCATAATACCTCATCTCAGAAATATAGACAGATACTGAAGGAAGGAAAATAAAGAAGTAGCGAAAAATGAGCCTGAGTGAATGAAGGAGACCTCGGCTATTTCTGCAATAATTTTATTAGTCTTTTGGCCCAAACTCACTTAATTCTTCTTAATATTGTTTATTTCTACCCGATTCTATGTATCCTTATCTACTCATCTCACTTCCAACATCCGTGTAGACCCCCCCCTCTCTCTCTCTCTCTCTCTCTCTTACAGATTTAAATTCCACTCCTTAGATCTGATTTCTCTCTGATATATTCCCTTTTTCCTTGTCTTTCTGAAAGAGACAATTCTTTAAATCGTTTTATAAGCGATTATTGGTAATTTTCATTTATTTCTTACTGTTGTTTTCTTTCGTATTGGTCCAGTGTCTTTCCTTTCAAGGTTCGCTGAGCAAACTTTCCTTTACAATCAGCGTTTTTTTTTTTTGTTATGAGATAAAAGGGGTTATAGAATTTAAAGTATGACAGAGGTCGAAAAAGAAAGAGAAGTTAGATGATATAAAAAAATAATAAAAAAGAAAGAAAGATGAAATGAAAGAAAGAGAGAATGAAGTAAATAAATAATGAATGAATGAGATAAAGAAAGAAAGAAAGAAAGAAAGAAAGGAAAAGAGAAAAACTGAGAGAATGAAATAAAGGAAGAAAGTAAGTGAGAAAGAGAGAATGAGATAAATAAGAGAAAGATATAGGAAGAAAGCGAGAATGAGGTAAAGAAAGAAAAAGAGAAAGAAATAATGAAAGAGAGAGAGAAAGAGAAAGAGAAAGAAAGAAAGAATGAGATAAAGAAAGAAAGGAAAAGAAAAAAATGAGAGAAGAGAGAATGAAATAAAGGAAGAAAGTAAGTGAGAAAGAGAGAATGAGATAAATAAGAGAAAGATATAGGAAGAAAGCGAGAATGAGGTAAAAAAGAAAAGAAAAAAGAAATAAAGAAAGAAGAAAGAGAAAGAGAAAGAAAAGAAAAAAGAATGAGATAAAGAAAAGAAAGGAAAGAGAAAAAATGAGAGAAGAGAGAATGAAATAAAGGAAGAAAGTAAGGAAAAGAGAGAATGAGATAAATAAGAGAAAGATATAGGAAGAAAGCGAGAAGGAGGTAAAGAAAGAAAGAAAGAGAGAAAGAGAGAGAGAAAGAAAGAAAGAAAGAATGAGATAAAGAAAGAAAGAAAGGAAAAGAGAAAAAAATGAGAGAAAGAGAGAATGAAATAAAGGAAGAAAGTAAGGGAGAAAGAGAGAATGAGATAAGAGAAAGATATAGGAAGAAAGCGAGAAAGAGATAAAGAAAGAATGAGAGAAATAAATAGAGTAAGAGAGAGAGAGAAAGAAAGAAAGAATGAATGAGATAAAGAAAGAACGATGTAAAGAATAACATGAAGAAGGAAAGAGAGAAAGAAAGACAGAATGAAAGGAAGACAAAGTGAAAGAAAGGGAGAATGACATAAAGAAAGAAAGAAACAGAAAGAAAGTGAGAATGAGATAAATAAAGAGAGGGAAAAGAATGAGAAAAATAAAGAAATAAATAAATAAAGAGAGAATGAGATATAAAAGAAAGGAGGAATTACAAAGAAAGAAACTAAGAGAGAAAAAAGAGAGAATGAAATAAATAATGAAAATAAGAGAGTGAGAGAGAGAGGGAAGGAAAGAAAACAATGAAAGCCGATAATCAGGAAGAATAATAGAATGAATTAAAAAAAACCAATAAAATGACGATAAAAAGAAAACTATTAAATATAAAGTGAAGAAAGCATGTTGCCGTGTCCTTATCTCATCCAATGCCTTTTCTGTTTTCTCTTGTTCATTGTAGGCAAAGTCACGATTAATTCTTTCCAAAAAGAAATAAAACGATTCGAACGGCGCAGGAAAAACTCGGCTCACTGAATCGTGTTGAGTTCTGGCCGAAAGAAAATGCGCGTCAACATTTTATAACAATAAAATAAAAGAGAAAACACTTAGAGTTAAATAAAGAGGAGAAAACAAAAAGAAGATGGGAGAAACTGGAAACGGACTCGGAAAAGGGATCACTTCAGAATTAAAAAAAAAAAAAATTTAGACGAGAAAGGAAATAAAATAAAATGGATGACAAAATAATGACGAGAGTTAGAATGAAGAGAAAACGGAAAAAGAAACGAAACGTTGAAGACGTTATCAAAAATAAAAGAATGAAAAGGAAAAAGAAAATGGACGGGATAATAAATAAGGGAAAAAAGCTCGAAAAATCTAGGGGGAGGGAAAGAAAGAGAAAAAGAATGAAAAAGAAGAGGGGGTAAAAAGGAAAAAAAAATGAAGACCTAAACAACAAAAGAAAATAAAGAAGAAAAAAGAAGGAGAAGTAGGAGATGGCGCAATACATCCGAATTATGCTTACGTGGCAAAAAGTAAAACGTAGGAAATCCACAT